ACTACTATTAGGGCTAAAAGTGGCGGATTTAATTGTAATAAGCCTATTCTATTAAGCAACAAATTTCAGCCCTTGGCTTCTGCAGACGAGGAACTATCGGAGGGAAGGAAAACAATACGGTCAGAGAAAGATGTGGATGATAAGGAGGTTATAGTTATAGGTGATTCCATGACAAGGCGTGTGGATAGCATAGTCTGTGGGGTAAATAGGAAAAAAGAATCAGATTATGCTACTCAGGGGCACAAGTGGAGGATATGACTGACAGAGCAGGAGATATAATAAAGGGGGCTAGCAAAGATTTAGTTATTGTGGTGCATGTAGGAACTAATGATGTAGGAAAAGGTAGGTCAGAGGAGCTAATTAATAAGTACAAGGAGTTAATTAACTGTGGAGATGAAGTTTTAAGTAGGTCACTAGGGCTAAATGCTGGGCTTAGGTGAGTATGATGAGCAGATTGGCTGTTTGGACTTGAGATCAATTCAGTGGAAGAATGGAGGTTTTTGGAATGGATGGTTTACATTTAAGTAAGATAGGGGCTAGCTTGTTTGCTACCGCAATTGACTCAGCTGTAGGTAAGTTTTAAACTAGGACTAGACAGTGGTGTGGACCAGGATAAACTAAATGCAAAAAGAATAAGAAGCAGAGAAAAGTTTAGCATAGGAAATGAGTATTAAAAGTAGTTATAAGGGTAGGCTTAATTGTTAATATTGTAATACTAGAAGTATAAGAAATAAAATAGATGACTTTAGAGCACTGATAGGAATGGAAGATTTTGATATAATGAGAATAACTGAAACATGGTTAAATGTAGATGATTTTGATGTCAGAGATTTCTTTGAAATACAGGGTTACAGACTGTTTAATAGGGATAGAGTACTAAAGAGGGAGGAGGAGTGGCTTTATATGTAAAATGTGAGTTACATCTGTTGAAGTTAAGGATATCAAAGATAATAGCAAGGAGATTGAATCCATTCAGTTTCTATTAGTGAATTATTGAGAAACTTTACAATGAGATTAAGATTTCAGCTGTTAATGAAGTCATAATTATAGATGATTTGAACTTCAAGCATACAGATTGGGAAATGCTAGAGTCAAACTGTGAAGGAGAAAGGTTTTTGGAAACTGTTCAAGATAACTTTCTTCACCAATTAGTCAAAGGAACCAACTATAAACAATGCTATTTTAGATTTATTGTTAACTTCAAATATATAAATGATCAAGAAGGTGGAAATTTGAGAACATCTAGGTACAAGTGATCATTGCTCTATTAGGTTCAATGTTTTGCTGTATATGGAAATAAAGAATAATGATATTTTGGTTACAAATTTTGAAGTGATGCAACAAGAATTATCTGTTGTGAATTGGACAGCTGAGATAATTGGAGACACTGATGAGATTTGGCAAATTTTTAAATATTCAAGGTAAATATATTCCTTGTAGAAAAAAAAGGGTAGCTCCAAGTAAAAACCAGGTTGCCTCACAAAGAGTATAAGAGATAAAATTAAAGAAAAGCATCACAAGTTTAAAAAAAATTTTAATTGACTGGTGTGACAGGAGATTTAGAAGATTATAGAAGATCAAAAAGTTGGTGAAATAGGAAATTAGACATCAAAAAAGTTGGCTGAAGGATTTCTTTAAATACATTAAGGGTAAACAAAATATTAGGATGGGGGGTAGGACCCTTGAGGGATGATAAAAGAAGGCTTGTATCTGATGGGTACGAGATGGCTGGGTTATTAAATTGTTTTTTCTTTGGTTTTTACTAATGACGATTTAAGCAGTATACCACATCTTGAACAGTTAATAGACGGAAACAAGATTAATTCTGAACTCTAGAAAAAATTGGAAAGTTTAAAGAACAATATAGCTCCTGGGCCAGATAATATTTCCCAAATGGTATTGAAGGAGGTTAAAGATTGGATATATATGAGCAACTTGCTACTATTTTTTGTCAGTCCTTGAATAGTGAGCAGATACCAGAGGAGTGGAAGTTAGCTAATGTAAGTCCTCTTTTCAAGGAAGGTGATAAAAATTATCCCAGTAATTATAGACCCATTAGTCTTACATCAGTTGTGGGAAAAGTTTTGGAAAGTCTGATAAAAGATACTTTGCAAAGTCATTTAACAAAGCTTATAATTTTATTGTATAGTCAACATGGTTTCACTAAGGGAAAATCTTGCCTCGGTAATCTTTTGACATTCTTTGCAAAGGTTACTTATTATGTAGATGAGGGTAAGAGTAAATTTGGTGTATCTTGATTTTTAGAAAGCATTTGAAAAGGTGTGGTGGATAAGTTAGCAAATTGGACAGAAAAGTGCTTGGATGGAAGAAAGCAGAGGGTTGTTATAAATGGAGTTCAGTCCAAGTGGATTAATGTCACAAGTGGGTACCTCATGGCTCAGTCTTAGGACCTTTGCTTTTTTTTTTTAATTACATCAATGAGATAGATGAAAGAATGGTCAGTAGTTCCTTAAATTTGCAGGTGATATTAGTGTCTTGGGTGTTGCTAGCTGTGAATAGGATGCTGCTGATTTACAAAAGGATTTAGATCATTTAGTGAGTTGGGTAAGTAAATGACTAATGAGTTTTAATTATAATAAATGTAAGATAATACATGTGGGTTATCAGAATTTGAATTATTAGTATAATTTGGATGGGAATAACCTTAATAGTGCCACAAAAGAAAGGGATCTTGGTGTAACTGTTGATCAGTCTCTAAAGCCATCCAAACAGTGTGCTGTTGCTAGTGGTAGAGCAAATAGGATTTTAGGTTATATGTACAGAAATATTGAATACAAGTCTAAAGAAGTTATAATTTCATTGTGTAGGTTATTGGTTAGGCCACATTTGGAATATTGTGTTCAGTTTTGGGCTCCTTACTTTAAGAAAGACATTGAATTGTGGGGAAAGGGTTCAGAGAAGGGTTACTAGAATGGTGCCTGGGATAGGGGTGTTGTCATATGAGGACAAGTTGAAATCTCTCAAATAGTTTTCTCTTGAAAAAAAAAGAGTTGGGGGGGATCTGATTGAGGTGTTTAAGATAGTAATGAGAATTGACAGTGTTGATGCATAATCTTTTTTCATACTTAACAGTGAGAATAATAAGACTAAGGGACACAAATATAAATTTTGACAGGGTAGGAGTCATCTTCAGCTAAGGCAGTTTTATTTTTCTAACAGGATGGTTGGCTTTTGGAATGAGTTGCCTTCAGATGTTGTGGAGGTAGTAAATTTAAGTGTGTTTAAGAGAAAGTTTGATAAGTATATGAATGATAAGGGCTGACTTCAAGAATTTTTTTTATGCTTATTTATTAATAGTTTTAGTTTAGAGGATGGAACAGCCAAGATGGACCAATAGGTCCCACATTGTCCCAAAATGTTATTTTATGTTATGATACAGGACACAAGTATATTGAGCATTTTAAATTAAATTATACATTTTGTTTTAATATTTTGCTATTTAGGTGGCCTTTTTTTATAATTAAGAAATATTTGTTAATGAAAAACTACCACTTGATTTATCAAGTTATGCCTCCCATTTGATAAAGGCGCCAGTAAGAAATGTACTTGCACATGGTGGAAATGCCTCTCCTCAGCAATGAAAAAAAAAATATTTTATTGCAGTACCATATACTTTATCTTTAAGATAAAAAATGTTTAGATTCTTCCTTAAATTCTTCACTAAATTTATTAAATGTTAATTTTTGTTCCTCATTATTTGATTTCCACTATGGCATTATAAAAATTAATCTATATCTAGCAGCATATAACTATAACTGCTGTTTATAATTGTCAATATATAACTTAAATTATAAGAGTAAGACTCAAAGCAATCAACCCAATAGTCAAATTTACTTTTGTAGGCCTGACATTAATATTAACAATGCAGTACAAAATGCCTTAGCTTAAGAAGACTAGCTTGCTAGTTTTCCAGTTCTGAATAATGATCAGGTTAATACAAGAAAACAGTAATTAATAATATATGATGTTAGCAAAAATAGTGTTTAACGTCCTTATCCTAATTCTGAGGTGTTTTGACATAAATTGATTACAAAATTACACTTAATCAACTTAATCCAGTTCACACCATAAAGGTAACAGTTGTTACCAAGCATTTTGCTAATATAAATAAAGCCGACGGTTACTGTATCTGCCTTATCCTAACTGACCTGAAAATACATGGTTGAGCGAAAGGCTTCGAGAATATTGCATATAGCATATTATATATATAGTGTGTGTTGACATATCATACACTCTTCTGTACTTTCACTCAGAAGTTCTTATTAATAATTCGATTATGTTTACAGATTATCTAATGATACTGAGCTTATATGTTACGTCGTTAACTTATGCTTAAAAATGCTGTAGCTATATTCAACATTCACATTACGTTAATTTTCAGAATTATCTAAAGTTACTCCTGCATTTTATTTGCTCAACAGTTCCAAATAGGTCTGTTGTTTTCCAACAATAACATCGTGCATGAAACAAAACCTTCTGGCACACGAGTATATCCACTCATGGTTAGAGAGGCCTAGGTAAGCAGATGGCGTTTTAAAGCTTTGATGCACCTATCTCTCATATTTGGAGGAACACCAATTATATACAGAGCACAGATAATCTATGAGGACCCTTGTATAAACTTTTTTTTTCTGATATTATTGCAATATTTAATGAGTCATATAGCTGAACGGATGTGTGGATATCCCCTTAGTTAATTGAGTTCCTGGAAAAAAGTGAAACACCTAATGGAGTCCTCACAACTAAATGAGTGCGAGCACAGAAACACACATGTGTATATATATTTGACAAGATGTGTGTCTGCTTGCAACTGCCAAACCGTTAAACCGGTTGTCACCATACCTAGCTTGTATCCTTAAGGACCCCAAAGAGTGACATAGTGTTCAGCTTTCAAAATTTACCCCCACCTTGTCATGCCAGTGACCTCTGCGTTTTCACGATGCATTAAACAGGTACGCCAGCTAGTAGAAAATACATACCGTACTAGTCATAGGCAATCCAAGCAAAAACCCAGCTGTGCAAGAAGTTAGAGTTATGACTGTCTGCCAGCCTAGTAATATATTCGGCTTAATGGCTATAATCGACTCCACCACAGTTATCCATATAACAGTCTGAAAAGATAAATTAAATGTTATAAGAAGATAAAATTGTATTAAGACTGTTTTGTTTTTAATCCAAACAAGTTATTGACTATACTAAACAACTATTCATCTTTAAATGCCCGGCTTTAATTTTCTTTCCAATTCAGTTAGGTTAATTAAAGATGGTAATAATAAAAACAAAAATATCTCATTTAATACTTTTGTTTCTGCTCATTTACCAGCTTATAAAAGATTAAAATATAGTTCCAAAACAAAATGCCTAATTTTTGTCACATATAATTAACTAGGTTATTCATAGTCCAGTTACATTTAACATTTTTAAAACCATATAATATAACACACTAATAAATTAACCCAACAATCTACCATTGACTACCAAACTGAATCTTGGAAGTTAAGTGTCATAAAGTTTATCTCAAAATTAAGTAATTTGAAGAAAACGGATTAGATGATATCAAAAGTTTTAAATTGTGTTCAGTAACAACTCCGTCTATATAAAGCAACTTCCGAATAAAAGGTGTCGTTTTTTATATTTTTTCAACAAGGAACTTACAATTTGAGCAAGACCGAAGATGATCATCATGAAATAGAAACAAATGGGCCAGAAAGATGATATGACATTAACGCCCTGTACCGCCAAAGCTGATGGAAAGATCTCTGTAGCCAGACGAAGGACTTGGTAACCACTAGTAACGGACAGACCACTTGAAGATGGGAACTTCTCGCCAATCACAAGGTTTATTGGCGTGGAGTTCATTCCACTTATTGAAGAGCACGATGATGGTTGGAGACACTTAATTGTTTGCTCAATCTCTGAAAGCAAGAAACAAATCTTAAGATTCTCTCATCTGACATGATACTGCCCAACTTTAAAAAAAACAGGAAATTAGGTTTTCAAAGTACGATTTTTGGCTTTGTACCTCTATTAACTTAGCAACCCTAATAATTATTCATAATTAATAACAGTAGGGAGTATCTGTCACAGTTTGTCTGTTGATTATATCATACCATATTACAGCTAAATTTTCATAGTACACAAATCTATTAGAATAAGAGATTTTTAACCGGAACATGGTTGGTCAGATGTTTTAATAAGTAACTGAATCAGAAAAACCTGTCAGTGAAATTTGTTTTTACTTAACTATGTTTTAGTTCATTTGACATAACGTGACATGAAATGTTTGTTGTTGTTGTTTTGAATATACGTGCCAAGTCACTCAAGGACTATCTATGCTAGTAGTCTCTAATTTTGAACTAGTAAAGAAGATGGAAGGCACCTTCTCCTTTTTATTTAAGCTTCTTTGTAAGCAATCATCTTATAACAAAGGACCACGACGGTTTTTGGAACGTAGAAGCTTTAAACATTGATACCCATTCCTTAATTTATTTTCTTATTTTTCTGGTTTACTTTTACATTTAAAGCTTACAAATAGTTTAAATATGATGCTGCGTATTCCCTTAGCTATACGAGTCCTATTCTTACAAATACCTAAATTTACTACAGTATATTTTACAGTTCTCACGTTGTAGCTTGAAATGTATCTTCCCTTTACTTGCAAACACTTTTGTTTTGGGTCAAGATAGGAAGGTTTCGTATTATAACATAACTTCATAGACTTTAGCGTTGTTGTCAAAATGTTTTTATCGTTAAATTTTAACAGCTGTTTGGCAAAATGATTTCTGAAAATAATTTATTCTCTAAGTTTCTTATTCTCCGACTTACCATAAGATGAAGGAACATACGTCATGTTCCTGGCAGATATAGACTTCATTATACAAACGGAGAAAAACGACGATAATATGAGAGTTAACGTTCCTCCAATTCCCACAATTGCCATGTTCCTAAAAAAATAGAAAACACAATCATCCTTGCTAGTAGCATCTTGCCTCTTCATCATTTCATCAAGGTAAATTTTAAGGGCAGTACTTCAGTAGTTTCTTTTCAAACAAGTTTAAGTTTTAAAGAACTGATATCCTTAGTTTAACACCAAAAGCTACGCGCATTTCCGACTAAAAAGCACGATAACGATTGTAACTTAGAACTTCGTAAACGAAAAATTCGACGGCGTAGAAAGATTGCGTACACAAAATCATGTTTTTTTCGAAATTTCTTTCATCATTTACTTTAAGTTGTTTGTTGAATTCCGCGCAAAACTACTCGAAGGAGATCTGCGCTAGACGTCACTAATTTAGAAATTACAGACAAGAAGAAAAGCAGTCAGCCAACATCAACCACCGCCAATTTTTGGGGTTACTCTAATCGAATAGTAGGGTTTATTTTTCACATTATAATGCTCCAACGGCTGAAAGGGCAAGTATATTCTGTGACGGGATTCGTTTCTGCCTTTCGCAGAATGCGATTCGAGCGCCCTAACCACCAGGCACATCTTCAAAAGAGCGTTTAAATTGGAATTTGTGCGTGGATATTAAATTTTATAAAGTTCAAATGTTATTTTGTTTCTACTATGATATAAAAATAGTTTAAAAACATCTTTTACATTGTTAAGTACAAAAAGGTTTAAGATAATACGTTGATTGTTCAACTTGTGAATTTTTTTAATAAATATGAATGTTTTATAAGTGGAGTACACCATGCCTGAAGACGCTTGCTGCAAAGATTTCAAAGGTTTGTATTAAAATTTTTAGTAACTGTGTGGTATAACTTACAAATAATGCCCCCTTTCATACAGTATAAAGTAATTAAAATCTATCACTGTTGGCATTATAAATCCTTTTACAGTAACAGTTCAGGCTATTAATATTCAAAAAGAATAATTAATTTATTTGATTCAGTAAATATTTTATCATGATTTTAAAACCCAGTAAAACTTACAGGGCACTCCAAATAAAGAATCATCAATGGTTTTCTTGATTACACAGGCCTGCGATGGTTTTATTGTCTTGAAATTTTTACATTCTACAGTAACTTCTGTACGTGAATCCGAAAATGATATCCATTTTTCTCCATCGCGTCATATGTGCTTTTACATAAGCGAATCATTTTCATTGAAATCGAGTCACATTTTGTTATGCTTAAAATGTTGACAACCACTGGCTATAAATTTCTCTAGGCCACTCACGACATGAGAGCTTTATCGATCGTTCTAGAATCCACGAGAAACACACCGCTAGTATATAAACAGTTAACAGGCAGCATGACGTGTCATTTCTGGATAGTATTTGTTTGTGCGTACACTTTGACATTATATTATTTGTTCGTCGCTATGGCAACAAGGGGTTGTGTAAATGACCCAAACATATTCTGTTATATTTGTGGTAAATTTGTTCGATCTAAGTAATAGTTTTTCTTCCCGATTTGTAAAAATCCTTACCTAATAGAAAAAAAAAGAATATTATTTTCGAAATGTGCGAAGCTGAAATAAAATCCGTTATTAAAACCAAAACGACTTTATGAACTTTAAATTCGCAGGCCTGTGTTATTCTTCACCACATGAAGCACTCAAGTGACAAACTGGAGACAACAAGCACATTCTATTATCATTACCTATCTTGTACATATAAACTACATTAGCATAAGCATACAGACTGTTTAAAAGGTATAAAGATATTTACCTGGTGATGTTTGATGTAGCTTTGTTGTGGCTACAAAGTTGAAGAACTACACCACCATACAGAACCCACGTAAGAAACACTTCTCTAGCAGCCAGAAACCACGACTGAAACAGACAGTACACGATATGACAGCTCGTGGAGTAAGACTCAAATGTTTCAAATAGAAAAACTACAATATTAACATACATTAAAAAACGGGATGTTAATCAGTTAACAGCAATAGGCGTAATTCACACGGGAAACACGACCTCATAATTTTGTATTTAATGGTGAATTGTTTCTCACACTTCAATACCATCAACCAAGCCTACTTTGAACATACTGTGTTATCAACATACGATCATTGATATATTTTTAGGTATACAACAGTTATCAAGGTATTCAAATATAGTGACCAATTTGGCTTTTCTATATCTTTGATGAGACCTCAGCTCTGATGCATAAATGTATCTTTTAAAATGTAAATAATGTATATTCAAAGTAGACCCTGTAAATATTATAGAGCAATTCCTGTGTTTTATGACGTTAGTTATGGATAAGGATGCAGGTCCATAGTTAGTTACTTAACATCTAAGTCACAATTAAAAGGTTTATGATTCTATACTGACATGTGTATAGGTAGAAGTTTGTAACAGTATCAAAACCTTAACATGAAGGCAGCCATTTTAAACCTTTTCTGCAAGACTATACTAGAATCCCTTTTATACATATATAATATTCGATTGTTCCATAAATTCTTAAAAAAACATAAAATAATTTGTTTTTGAATATTCAGTTAATATAATCAGTGCTATAAATAATGATTTAAACATTTTCGCTTAAATTGTTCAAAAGTGCTGCTGTTCAGAGTAATCCTGGTTGGTGGAAGCAATAATAGTCATAAAATGTGTTCTAGCTTATCGTAATACAACCAGCGTTCGTTTCTCTCCAACCGCTATTGAAACTGTGATAAGTCATCTGTATTTTTGTCAACATATTAACGAAATTCAGTTCATCGTAGATCGTCAGTTTTCCTAATTTTACATCGTAAGGCGTTCTTTTTATTTTATTTTTTTGTAAAGAATTTGCAAAAGTATGAACCCATATTTATTTCATGTACCTATTTGTTATGCTAAACGAAATGAACATTTTGCAGTTATAAATCCATACTACAGTAGGTACTAACTACATTTCCCTATATCCCCGCATAGCTATGCATATTTAATACAATCCAGGTGATTTCCAAAGTTATGTTATGACACATGAAAAAGTCTTTTGCTCACCGCATATCAATATTATCGATGTCTAGCCATGATACTCTTGAGAAAGAAAAGGATACACTATGCTTTCACTTTTACAAAAGATTTCCCTCAATAACATCGAAATAAAATACAAGCATTGAATGTTGGAGAAACCCAAAGATTTATAACAAATTAGTTTTGAATACTGGATATTTGTACAGTGTGCACAATATGTACGTATACCAAGATTAATAAGTTACGTAACTTTGAGCAGTAGGCCTATAAATATCGTAAAAACGATTTTTGAGTGCTACTGAAAAGGTGAATGATTATGACGTCAAAAAACAAAAGATTCAACCATGAAATCATAAACAACTTATCTGTGTGATCTTTAAATCTGGTAAAACCATAACACTGTATTATCATTATCGAAGAAACATATGTCCAGCTCAGGGAATAAACGAATAAGTACTGCTTTTGACATGAAGGAGTCAATACGCGAAGTTACAATTACTTTAAATTGTATTATACATACATACAAAGACACACACGTACATATTTAAGAAATGACGGGAGTGGTTTGACACAATCTTTAATACACTTTTTACTATAGTCTTCACGTTAAAAAAAAAACTTGAAATATCGCATTTATTTCAGTGATAAAATATAAACCTTGAAACTTACGGACGAGTCGATTAGCACTGTTTTCCATTGCACATCAAATAATTCAGTCAATGCATTCCCCCATACTTCCATCATCCGCACAGACATTATAAGCAGTGAAGAAAGAGGAACAACAACAATGACATACGTTAACTGACCGAAAAAAAAAGCATAAAATGAAGTTTATGGTATCTTCAGATAAGATATTCAAGTAAATTTATGTATGTGACACGTTTCCATTAAAAAGCAATAAAAACATTAGTAATTTCAATAATAACATTAAATTCATACACTATTTTTCAAACTGCAATAATTTCGAACAGTATTTAACCACTTAAACTATTTCAACATCTGTTTATCCATCTATCAGTAATCACTTCTTTGTAATTACATATTTATACATACTTTAAATCTAAATAAAAGTAGAAGACGTTAAGTTATGGTTGATAATAGAACTATGAATTCATAGTGGTTTTTCTTCATAAGAGAAACCATAAGGAATTAACATGGTATGTGGAATTTAATCTGAACGGCACCTTATGCATTATTAAGTGGCCAGACAAGACTCCAAGCTAGAGGCATAAACGTTCCTGATTTTAAAGTGGTAATACGATGGGGGACTTGAACTTTAGACCTTCCGATTGATTGCTCAGAACACTAAAAAACAGTTTACGCCCAACCACAGAAAGTACTAAGTTAATATAGTAATCCATAATGCATTTTAAAGAAATCTTATTTCCTATTTTTATGTTATATTTTACAGAAAGCATTACTAATACTGTACTTTCAGAATCAAAATAACTTAGATGTTAGTACGACTCACCTTTCCATACAGACGGATTCCTCTACTTAGAATAATGAAGACTAATAACCAAATGACAGCTAGATTAAAGGTTATCTCAAAGTTAAATTCTTCTCTGTGGTGGTGTGCTCCAGGTCGTCTTCCCAAAATTCGACCACTGTAAAAGTTAATAATAATAATATGTTGCTGATTAATCTCTTCCTGTTGTGTGTAGGAAAAAAAGTGGATTTCAACAGTGCATCCAACATTAATGTAATTTTTGCAAACATACATAAACACCTTTAAACACTATCTTTCTGAAAACGAGTTAAAGGTCGTTTCGTTTTCCAGATAAAATCACATAACGGTCTTCTTCACCTCCTTCCTGGTGGGGTTAACCATGATAAGAAAACATATAAGCTCTTCCGAAAGGGAACTGAAGAACCTCAATGATGATATCAACTGGGAAATTTTAATGACTACAAACTGTATTTCAAAATAAAAGTGCTTTAAAAGTTAATTTCCATACCTAAAATCATATAGTGCTTCATTGAGTAACAACCTCTTTATTGGACCTAACTAGGCTGGTTAGACTTGGCATTGGTCTAAACCGCAGTTTTCAGCTAGTCATGATATCGGTTTTGTTACTTAAGGAAAGCTTATATGTTTTTGGGAGGGGCATCTTTCCCTTTTGATGAGCTTTTTCTAGTAAATCCATAATAAACATTGTTATATATTTGTGTTAAAACAAGTGAAAAATTAAGATAATTTCTTTTCTTTTTTTACTCAAAAGTAAGGTATGCATATGCCTCTTACCCTCCTAAAGTATATATTTCATATCATATATATAATTTAATTTTTTATTCGAAACATAATAAATCTTGCTGAGATCCTTGTGCTAATTCATTTATCCTATAGCAGGATTCGATCAAGGTGGCTACCTACAATAATATGAGATAGTTTATAAATATTACATGAAGCAGAGAAATATTCACATACTTGTGATCCAATAATTTGACTGAATCTCTACAAAGAGAAAGTGGATCGTGAGAAGATTATTGACCTTTTCAGGCAGATTTGCTTCTATCTTGAAACGGCTAAGAATTATTGTGAAAGTCTTGTCTGCATGTTAACTGATTCAACCTGCTAATCACGTGGGTGAATATATTTCCCATTATCAACGCCACCAATAGTATTCAGTTATGTCAGATTAAAACTTTTCTTAAACTTTAAGACAATTCTTTTTTTTCTTTAATTTTAAAAATCTACGTTTTATTGATCTACGTTATTCTACGTTTAACAATAATAGTTTCTTGCCATTAAACGATCAGACTATATGAAATCCACTTCTCTGTTTCCTTGTACTTAAAGCAACAATTTTATTTATCATCATATGTTTTTTATTCAGTCTTTATGAACTGATAACTTGTCCTTGTAAGTACTCTATCTTGTTCCAACTGCGACAGATTCAGGTGTTGTGAATAGGATTTGGTTATTATGGAAGTAGTACTTAAATAGTGGGTTTGAATCCTTCAAACTTTCTCTTTCATCTAGTGTGGTACACTGCCCATGAGATGGCTCTACAATATGAAAAATATTATTACAGTGAAGAGGAAAAGTGATCTGAGGACAAGATTATCGAACCCATATTGACTTGTAGAAGTCATTTACTGAATTTAGAAACTCTTCAGAACTTGACAAGTCTTCCAGATATCCCTTAGTTTCAGAAAGTTATGAGTAGCAGTAGACAGGTTATCTTCATCAACCCAACAGGTGGCAGGAGCAACATCACACCAGGTGATACATTGCTCGAACAAATATGAGAGGGTGAGTCAAAAATGTCTGTGTTGAGACCAGCTCCATAGTCTTTCTCGTTACGAAAAGACATTAAAGATTGATATTTGCATTTTCTAGAGCCAGCGCAAAAGTAGTGAGGTGAAACAAGTTTAAGTTTCATCGTTCAAGGTTTAGATTGCTTACGTAAGGAATTTTGCCAGATTTATGCTGGGAAGGTCATGACCCAAGACCAAATGATGTAGTATTGCTACTAAGCCGATTCAGTACTGAATGTCACTATTGCTAATCTTAATTTCTACTGCCTCCCCCAAATTATAATTTGTATTGGAATGGGTGAAATGTTTAAATTTCCTATCTGTGCAAAAACAACATGTCTATATACAAAAAGTTTCTGATTACTAAACTTTGTACAATGAGGCCTAACAAGGTTCCTCTACAGTGTACAATGACTCCTACTATGGTAATTTCAAACCCTCAGATATAACAGTTTTTCCATCACCCTTGAATTATCTAGTTTTGCCTTGTAAAGTCAACTGAAACCTGTTTTGACTAACGTTACATTTAAAGCGTGCATGGAAGAATCTAACGAATAATTCGACAATTCTGCATTTCATTCAGTGCATGCCTCAGTGGATTAGTGAAGTCTTGAAAACCATGGTATGAAGAGTAAATATTGAGTATGTAGCATGCTACTATCACGGCTTTTCAATATGTAGTTGAGTGATTAAGTTATATTCAAATGAATTGTTTTTATTCATGTCTTATCCCTAACATTCTAGGCGACGTAAAACTTTTAGCCACAGCTGTAGGGGAGAAGGAAAGAATGATATCGAAATCCATAAATAGTGTATAGGACTAAGTATTTCTTCTGATTCTTGCAATGTTTTTCTGGTTCTTTTCAACTGGAATTGGCAGGAAGAGAAGTTTCCAGATTTCTGGTGTTAGACTATTATCATCTATTTTTCTAATCACATGAAACTTTCAAGATTCCTTCTAATTAAAGACCTTTGACTATTGCTTTGACTAACTGTATGTGTAAAGTCCCGGAAATGATGTTTAGCCTCTTACAATCTGGAGGCATTATACTGGCCTCTTTTGCATATCTGAATTGTAGGTACTTAAAAATGCAACATGAGTACCATGGGACCTTTTAAATTATAAATTTGATTTTTCTGATCACTTTACGATTTGTAATAAAATATGATACATAAAATAGCCATATTCTACGCTACCATGCATATTACCTAACCATTGACTTGAAAACCATTTTTCATGCATTATTCTACATAACAATACTACGTAAACATAATTCGTTAGGCCTCATTGTTGAAAAAAAATAATAAATCAATAACTCTGAATACTATCCATTTATATTAGTCTTAGCTTACTCAATATTATGTATGAAGCTTACCTTTGTCCTTTTAGAAATTATCTACAACTGCTTCAAATAGACTCCAGACTAGGCAGCAACTTCTTGCAATGGTTGTAATCCAGTCTGACTTATGGATTACAAGATCACCAAAGTGAATGGTCATTTATAATCATAAAGACACCCTAGCCAAGAAGGTAAACTTTTCAGCTAAAGCATTGATAGCCGTAAAAGCACAGGAACAAGTGGATCTGCTTGAATGATGGGAAAATACTTTCCAGGAGTGCTGGCAATACCCCTGTAAGTCAGAAACTGCTTTTCCTTTGGATTACAAGACTGAACGGTTATGTCATTGATATTTACCATTTACCATTCGAATGTTGCACTAAATAACCATATAACTAGTGGTGGAGCCCCCAGTGGCACAGCGGTATGTCTGCGGACTTATAACGCTAGAAACTGGGTTTCGATACCCGTGGTGGGCAGAGCACAGATAGCCCATTGTGTAGCTTTGTGCTTAATTAAAAAACAAACAAAAACAAACAAACTAGTGGTGGAAGAGAGGTGCAAGTGAATTTAATCAAAGACTCCGTCTGACTTTGATATCTTATGTGCAAGGCATGTCCACAAACATTCTGAAAGGTTATTTGGTTTTCAAGAGTGGATTCATATCACAGGCTCATGTCTGAGCTCTCCATGCCCTTTGACAGTCAGGTATCCATCATGGATGAGGGCACTAAGGAAAAAGTGTCAAAGTTTTATGGATTGTAATTATAGCTAACTGGACAATTCTAACTCCATGCAGTCATTAACAGATGGTAGGTTAATTACCACAGGAAACAAGCTCCAAAACAGTGGTAAAATAGGAGCAGTTGCCCTTTTCCAGTTACCACCATGGCATGCGAGTTGGGTGACATAAACTGTAGCTTGTTATTCTCGTAATGATCAGAAAATCATCCTTACCTCATGCTTCATTGTCCACTTCACAATAAAAAAGACAGTGGTGAATAAACAAACAGATCAATATTCATAAATGTCTGACTTGAACATACAAGTATGTAGGTTCTCTAGTATTAAAAAGAGAAATATTTTGATCCGAGATTAACTCCTCCCATCAATATCTACACCAACTCAGATTAGTCTGTGTATATTTAAGTTTCCTGAGACGATAAATGAAGATGACAACTTCTTGATAAGGTCATCAAGGTCTGCTTGATTAATTCCCTTTTCTGGCGAAAAGTAGAAAGAAAAACTGTGACAGAACAACCAATGGAGACATTGGTGCATCCATTAGTCATAAAACCTGTCCTTTCTGTATAATAAAACTCCAAAACTGTTACAGTATTGGCAGTTTTCGCCAGTGCCTCCTATAAGGAAATACACACATGATAGTAGGAATCACTCAAAACATTAACGACATCTACATTAGCATGAAAATCTAAACTGTTTCATTAAATCAGTATGGCCATTTTACCCTAAAATGTCCCTAAATGGGTGAGATTGAGTAACTGTATTCTACATAGGAGCCAGTGGAAGTGTTTCCAGTTGCTCATTGGTGCTACTTGGCAGGGAAGGGATAGAGATGGGGAATATGTGAATTCACCCTCCTGTTTGTCCAGGGAGAGCAGGATCTTCACGTGGTTATAAAGTGACCTTGTTTGAGGAACAGAGATATGTCCTCACACTCACTGTAGCAGTAGAATAGTCAGTATAACTCGGTTTCAGAAGCTCCATGCCTCAAGGCACTAAATGTTATTTAGAGTTTTTGTACCTCTTTTGCTTCAACCCATTTTGGACATGATCTAAAATAAAAGTGATGGAAACCAATGCAGTTAAGACACAGTGATTCATAGTGACACTCATTGTTTTCATAATCTTTGCCATCACAAGAAGAATGGGCTAAGAAACCATGACAGAAAGTTTTAAAGTGATCGAATTGTTGACAGTGAGAACATCAGAAAGGATTTGTAATACAAAGTTGAATGTTAGAGTTCAATAACTTGCTTTTACATTAGTGGATGTGGAAATAAACTTATAAATAAGCACTCTAGTTAGCTCACTAATTCTGTTCTCTAAAATGAAGAATTGCTTAATGAATGATAGATACTTCTTGATTGCAAAACCAACAAGAAGCTCCAACATAGGGATGTGAAGAAGTTCCCTTTCCATTATAACTCCTTTTGACGAATTGAAAATAGTATGTGTGGCCCTAATTTGTATTCACTTAACAGCTTTTAATTACAAAAGAAGTTTACTGTTAACAGATTGTGATGTCTCATGCATGATGTCTCCAGATATTTTTTCTCTACCAACTTTGGACAGCCAACAAGATCACCTATGCTCTTTTACATAATGTAGTCATATTTGAAAGATACATTTGACTAAAAATGTAAAATCACAAAGTAATATGCAGACTCTGTAGCAGATGACAGAATTATCTCTTTGTGGTTGCCTTATATTTAATGTAAAATTCAGATTTGTTTATCCATATTTTATATTTTATTATTTAAACTTTATGGGTTTAACTTCTTAATCTTCATTTGGCTGACAATTTTATTTTTATAAGTTAAATACTTTATTCAGAGTAGTATTTTATCATGACTTCACTTGGAGGGTTGTATCTTAGTATGTATTTAATGTTAACATATTAACTTTGCCATTTTATACATCTAAGTGAGCTTGTTTACAGTGTTTTGTGTAAAATATTGTCCAATTATATTAACCTTTTTTTGTATATCCTTTTAAATATTTTGCCATATAGCGAACAGGTAAATCCCCATCCCCTCTTTTCACGTGTCTATTCATGTTACACAAGTCTTCCATTTAATACCCTCCCAGTTTATATTTCTTAATTTTATTATTATTATAAAAATCATGATCTTTTGGATGTTTCATTAATAATTGATTTATATATTTCACGTGTATGAAGTTCTGCATTTTTTACTCTTAAAAACTGTTAGTATTAACTGATTAGATGATGTAATCTGTCACGTCTGCAAGTCTGGCATGCATGTACTTTGTTTGGCATGTTAACATGTTGTTTATATCTAATGAATAAATCAAGCTTCTCCATTACCCAAATTTCTTCTACAGTTACTTCACGGGGTACAGTACCCAAAACACCTGTTTGAACACCCATTCTTGTTACCTAAACACCCACGTTTAGACCGTGGACCCACTAGCATGCGAATGAGGGAAATGAACACTGTTTCAAACATCACGCTCTTGGAATCCTGAGAAGGGCCAGAACGTAAAATCCGATGTTAGATTCGGTTTCAGAAACCCTTAAAACCTATCTTTAGACTTCTTCCATTATGTTTTGGTTGCCTTACGGGTGAATTTGAACCCCCCATTAATTGGGGGTTATGTCATGTTGATAAGGAAATCCTTGATTCACTCTCTCCTTGCCATGTTTGGTCCTGCTAGCTCTAGAATTATGTGCTTAATTAACACAAGCACTACCACATTAAGGCATAAGCTAACTGAGCTACAGCTTACAGTCTCACAATATACGGAGCCTCTTAAACATGACATAGCTTAGAACCTCAGAATATCATAATCCGACACTGAATATAAAATTGTATTTTACAGCAAAAACCACAATAAAAAGATTCGCAGAGACAGACAGAATGTTAAAATTTTCGAACTCACGTTAGTTGTAGTAAAAAAGTTCAGTAAAAGGGAATAAAAATCATGTTAGAAACAATACATGATTAATTATATTCTAAATGGATGATAATATGATAGTAAATAAAAACCTATTCTTTGGGACAGGCAGAAAATCCTACAAATATTTGATAATTGTATTGTTTACAGGTGAGACTCTATGGATGGTTTTGACTTATAGTACTCTGATGGTTAATTTTAATTTCTTACCAGACGGTTGAGGCCACCTCGCTAACTCGGTGCCCCGTGCAGTTGCATGGTTTGCTTGTGTCTAAAACCACCAATGATCACTCGTGACACATCAATAGATTTGTCCTTTCAAGTACTAGACCCGTGAGCACCTCGATGTTGCGGCGATCAGATAACTGGGTATTTGGTCTACACTAAACCTAAGGCAAGGAACTGAATAGAGAAAACTACTAAATCCTCTATTACGGAGGCGATTAAGTACGTCATGTCTAGCTAAAAAGTCTGTATAAGACATATCGAGAAATACATGAGATAACTTGGAATTTTTATACGTCAGATAAACTGTTAAAAACTTGGCAAGAAGTGATATAAATATCCTAACATGTTATAAATATTCTTCCAACATCCTATCAGTTTCTTGTTTATCTGGTTAAGAAATTCAAGAGTGGAAACTACAGCCTCACAGTCAAAGATTGGCATGGGCAAGGATATTAAAACAGACAGCTTAAACATGTATAGAATATATTTTATATATTACTTGATGTCTGAGAAAATAAGCTCGATACAAAAGTAAATCCCATATTAAACATTCCGAACCTCATCCCGAATCCGGAACCACAAAACTTGCAACTCTTCCCACTCAGCATTTATCCACTCACTCACATAAGTTGGGCGTACACTTCTGTTGTAATTACCGTAATGATATAGCATAGTTTTTAGTATTTTAGTAACGTGTAACCCTTTTAGTTAGCAATTTACTGTAGTTAGAATAAACACGCGAACTAACGTATAAGTGTGGCTATATTTTAAATTCGCTGCTATTCCAGTATGACTGATCATTTAACGTATCCAACAACTAAAAATTTAATTTTTCAACTAATATCGACAAATATTGTGTTAGAACTAAGTGAAAAGGTAGACGCTGTTAAGTTCAACATAACTTATTTATCGTGTAGCTCCATCTATACTATCTAATATACTATATAACTATATGCTAATATAGTCATTTTTTTTTTTTACTTACTGGAAATAATTTGGCACTGACCATCCCAAGTAAGCATCTGTTGAAAGATTCCGACTTTCTAAACAGGCTGAAAGTTAGAAATCAAGATATATCAGTTGAGAAACAAGTGACGTTAACATGTTTAGTAATACAGTTGTTTTATCGTATTCAGAAATTACGATTTAATGAAATCCTGCGCTAGTAGATCCAACCACAGTCTATAAAGAAGCTCAAACATGTAGTTGAAGTACACAGAAATTTAGTAATGATTAATTTCAAATTTAATTTGATTTAACACACTATATATTTAATAATCTTGTTTTTAACGTTAAAAATATATAAACCAGTAATAAAGAAACACAAAATACACTTTTAAGACTTCGTTACGATTCTGGTTAAGTCAAGAGTTTAACTGGTAAATGTTTGTTCTCGTTAGTAAGGTTCTGTGAATCCATTTACTGATTTACACTGCCTTAGCTCTATAAAGAACCAAAAGAAATTGATGCCACCATACACATTCGATGGGCTTGGTAGTTAAGGCGCTCGACTCAAACGAAGACCCGTATGGGTCTTTAGGTCTATTTATGACCTGATGAGGTCGGGTACAGGGATGACCTCATCCACCCTTATTCTTATACTTATAGTAGGTATTTATTGGAGAGAGGTACTTAGGACTATTTCTATTATGTATGCAATAACGGTCTTTCATAGAAGACCGTTATTTTGAAAATTTTTTGAAAATATTTCAGCTCACAATCTGAGGATGTCGAGTTCGACTCCCCCGACACCGAACATACTCGTACTATATGGTTGCCACCCTGGTGTAAAAATTCTTGGTTTACAAAATTACCGGCCGACTCCTAATTCGATGGCACTACGGTCAATATGGGGGGGGGGGAGATAGACATTCGGTGTCACAGTGTTACACTATAGCCATCTTTTAGTGATTTTAAGTTTAAATATATATATACTACACTAGAAACCATTATATAAAGATAATCAATGCGTGTCCTTTCACTGGACTGCCCGATGTAGAAAATATTAAGATATCTTAGCTCACCGTGAAGTGCATTAAATGAATATCGCAGTTTAATAATATCTTATTAGCTGGCCTAATATAAAATAATTTTGTTGCTGCAAATCTTTTACTTTTTCACTACATATTTAAGCCCGTAATTTTAACACAGTGTAAAAGAAACTAATAATGTAAAAATTGATAAACTGTGAATGACCCAATTTGAAAATAACTAAAGAAAATATATAAAAATCCTGAAACTGAATCGTTTAATAATGTTTTATATAAAAACATAGTGAAAACTGAATGTATGAAAGACTCAATGATGCAACTTTTAATACTGTCCGAAAGGATACTGAGGGTTTAATATTTTATGAAAAACTAGATACTAAAAGATTTAGCAATCTGCGAATATCAGACAGCGAAAGGTTTAATGATGTGTGTTTGTTTGTTTTTAATTATGCCCAAAGCTACACAAGGGCTATCTGTGCTCTGCCCACCACTGGTATCGAAACCCGGATTCTAGCGTTGTAAGTCCGCAGACATACCGCTGTGCCACTGGGGGGCGATGATGTGTGAAGGAAACGACATGAAAAAGATAACTAATGTAATTTTATAGTTTGATTGTAAGTGTAAATCATTCTTCAATTATTTTTCTGTCAACCATTCAACTTATGTAATTAAAGCAATAAGGAAAGGTGCTAAGATTAATTAGAATCATTAAAACAAATAAGCAAAATTCTGAATTTTTTTTAGATAAATTGTGAAAGAAACTTAAAATTAAACTACTTTGTAAAACTGGAGAAAAGAATTGAAATCAATTAAAGAACGTCATTATTGACAACTATGAAACAAAAGTTACTTAAGACATTGGATTTTTGTCACTCGCCGATAAAGCTACTTTTTTCATTTGAAAATATAACTATGCAAAGAACGAAGGTTAAAACACTGAGATATTAAAAAAACGTTAAACCGAACACAGAATATTATACGGAAACAAATTAAGATGTCTTCACTCTGGTGTTCCCCCTGAAGCCTGTAATGATACCTAAATTATCTAATTCTCAAATTACTTAAATTACCATACATACATATACAATGCGAAGAAAACAACAAAGAATTTACCTATTCAAATCGATAAACGTATTAAACACATTGAAGAACATTTAAACAAAAACTGTAAAATTATCAAAGTTGATCCTTTCACTATCATCAGTAATGTTATTGAATGTAAACAGAAAATTGACGATTTCAAGTTCTCTTTAATGGTATCAATCGGATGACAACATATTATAATAGTCTTATCAGCAGTAAAAAGATATTTTAATAATTCTAATCTAGAAATGTCTTGTACCAGTAAGCGTGTTTATATTAATCGTGAACAACCTCATTGTTTCATATTTAGCAAACTCTTACAAACTGTGCATTTTTCTTTTTATTTCACAACACCTCATCATTTGATCAACTGTTTCCATCAACAAATACAAAGGAAAAAAACCTATGGTTGGCAAATTGAGCTTACAAGTTCATTACCTACCGCTTTGTGTTTACTTTTTTTATTCATAAGAAAAATTAAAGAATCGAATACTAATTAATAATATTTGCCAAATATAATTGATTACAATCAGACTTCGACAGCAAAAAAACGTTCACATCGCGTCAATAATAGCCAATATTGTACAATAATTTAGTAAAATGGGACCAGGTTTATTGGTTGGTTCTATTTTAGTGAAAAGCTAAAGAATGGGTTGTCAATCTACCGTGGAGAATTTAAAATCGGATTTAAACGGTGTAAGTTCGTATACTTAACGGTGACTCACCGAGTGACAGGGAGAGGAAAAATCTACATGTATCGGCAATAGTGTACCTTGCCATACCAGGAGAAGCCTTTATACCTCCATACAGATGTACATACTGCACAGAATACACAATCATACAAGACCTTGACCTCCAACATTACTGATTCCCAAAACAATTTTATTTTATACCTCCATACAAACGTACATAAACAATCATACAAGACCTTGACCTCCAACATTACTGATCCCAAAAACAATTTTATTTTATACCTCCATACAAACGTACATAAACAATCATACATGTCCTTGACCTCCAACATTACTGATTCCAAAAAAAATTTTTTTTTATATCTCCATACAAACGTACATAAACAATCATACATGTCCTTGACCTCCAACATTACTGATTCCAAAAACAATTTTATTTTATACCTCCATACAAACGTACATAAACAATCATACATGTCCTTGACCTCCAACGTTACAAGACTGATTCCCAAAACAATCTTATATGATATCAAAACTCTTATTAATAGATGCATTACTTTAACTTAGAACGTGGAGAAAAATAGAAATGTCATACATTTTCATTTTATTTTACGTCGGTTTTACTCTCCCCAAAAACTTCATAAAATTGGTTTACAGTTACGTCCAGTTGTGAACAATAAGGTTTCCTCTTCTTATCTGGTTACTATATTTTCGTGATTAAAATATTTTTTCTTAATTAATTCACATATGTATACCTTAAAGAACTCGTTAGAATTTGCAAACAAAATTAAAGAAATCAACTCAGAATCACCAGATCAACTTGGGGTCCTTCGAAACGGTTCCATTATTTACAAATATTCTTGTAGAAGAGAAGGATGTTGTTTAGAAAATATGTTAGTAGCTAGCAAAAACTTCTCCCGGTTAGAAGTCAGACATTGTGGATGTAACACGTTGCTGCGCGACTAAATAGGGCGAATTTACTTTTAAAATAGCATAATGTGCTTCCATATACAAGAAATGAATTTTACAGTGAGGTTTTAAAGGCTTATCTGTGAGGTCCCCTCTATCACCTTTACTATGAGAGTTGTTTATGGCTGATATTGAAACCAAAGCTTTGAATACCGCTTTAGCTGAATCAATGAATATATGGTTAAAACATTTTGATGATACTTTCTTGTGTGGCGACATGGCAACGACTTGCCAGTGGATTTTAAGAGACATGTTAATTCAATCAAACCTGCTTATTTTAGATCAACTATACACAATGAGGCTATCTGCGATCTGATTGCCGTGGGGAATCGAACCCAGAATTTCGGCATGGTAAGCCTGTAAACATACCACTGACCCGGTGGATATAAACCATGCAAAGTAGTTCACTTTAGAGGTTGAACAGTAGAGGTATTTGAATTGTTTTTATGTCTGTTAAAAGGAAGAACGCTTTTCTTTGTACGTCGTTGTATAGAAAACCGTTCTATGTAGTCACGCCGCCACACACGAATTCGTTTCAACATTTGTCGCAAACACACAAAAAAAACGTATTTTTTTTCTCAAGTGTATAGAGCTATAAATATTTGTACTCGTCAAATGATTTAATGTCAGAATTATTCTTACAGAAACACATAGTCGTTGATAGGTTTAATCTAAGTATTATATCTATAACCTATAATTAATGTTGTGATAAATGATGTCTCAAGGTAACAAGTTAATAGAAAATATTAATTAGAACATGATAAGAGTATACACTTTTGTCACATGTTTAATCTATTTCTATACAAGTAGGAAATAATTTCGCGAAAACATGATAAGAGTATACACTTTTGTTACATGTTTAATCTATTTCTATACAAGTAGGAAATAATTTCGCGAAAACATGATAAGAGTATACCCTTTTGTCACATGTTTAATCTATTTCTATACAAGTAGGAAATAATTTCGCGAAAACATGATAAGAGTATACACTTTTGTCACATGTTTAATCTATTTCTATACAGGTAGGAAATAATTTCGCGAAACATGCAGATTGTCAAGTAGCCTTTTCTCCATGTTGTAAGTACTTTTCTCAATATATTATACGATAAAGTACAACAGCAAGAAAAATGAAAGATTTGTGTAATCACGGTTTATTTTATTGGATATACATGTAGAAATTTAAAACTTAGATTAAAATAACATAAAACTATAAATGAGCTGAAAATAGGCAAACTCAACTCATTCTATTGACTAGAAAATTATTAATCTTGTTTATCAGATTTATTACATGGATAAATGAAATACTATGGCCATTAGAATTTGTTAACAATAAATTATTCTGAATAAGGAAAGGTCCAAAAATGTGTTTTTGCAAATCGATTTTTTGTTGACGGTCAAGGTCCTGTATGATGATTGATTCTGTGTTTTATCTACGTGTATACATCTGAATGATGGTACACAAGCTGTTTTTCTTAATGTTAACTCGCGACTTCTCCTGATAAGCCTCCCAATGGCACAGCAGTAAGTTTCGATACCCGTGATGGCCACAACACAGATAGCCCATTGTGCAGTTTTGTGGTGAACAACAAACAATATATATAGGCCTAAATAAAATGTTTTTAATTGTGTACCAGTTTAACGTTGAATATCATTTATGATTTTAATCCTGGCGCCGTTTTAATAAATTAATACACACTTTTAGGATGGAATTATTTCTAGTTTATGCACAAGTAGCGTCTTTTGAACAAGTATTGGTACAAACCAACACAACACGAAACATCATTAATAAAACAGGAGAAACAAGCCGACTTGATACGTCATGTGATGAGGAAAGAAAAGATAGAGCACATAGTAACAACTGGCAAGATATAAGGAAAGGAAGACAAACAATAAAGATGCTTGATGAGATCACAAAATGGTTATGAACCATGAATAACAACAGCATACCAGGGACAGAAAGAAATGGAAAGTTATGATTGTACAGGCATGACATTGAAGAAGAATGCCTCATATTAAATAAGACAAACGTTTTGTGAAGTGTTGTTTCCTCAGAGTAACAAGTGCTTTACAATTAATTAAAATGTTAAAAAGTTATGCCTCACATTCTCGCAAATAATTTATTCCTCTGGTTTTTAATTATCTAGTCCTCTTCTGTAAGCTCGGTTTGTTTAATATCTCATGTATGCAAGACATGAATCTTAATTCCATATTAACCCTTCATCACTAAGGCTAAATGATACATAAAAGTTCTTACAACGAAGACCAAATTTCGGATTACACTGGCCCCATTTGTACGTGTCTCTGGTGGTTATGAAAGAATCTTTAAAATACAGGAATAGCCAGCTGATGGGCACAGATGTGTACACACCTAGCAGCACATATAGGTAAAGCATGGCTAGTCCCACTCCTAACAAGTAGAAAAGAAATAAAAGTTAGTTATTTAGGCACATTAATTATTTTAATAAATTCATATTAATTATTTTATAACTAATAGACATAATATAACTATACAAGTCCTTTCATTATTCATTAACATACCCATAAAGTCGTTTCAGTTTTACTGTGAATATACACCAGTAACGAAAATAAAATATAAACAAATATACTTGCTTGTAGTCTATAAAAAGAAATTGGTAATGAACATTCAAATTATCATAGCTAATAAAATTATAATCACTTTAACCGAAACTAACAGTTTAATAAACTACACCTAAAGGACCATATTACTTTTAGTACATAGTGTCCGGTACAGAGCTACAGGTTGAAACAACAAGTACAATATGTTGTTTATTCCAAGTTGTCACATATTACAATTATCAAAATGTTTTGTAAATTTTTCTGACAATAAGCACCAAAATATATAGTTATTAAGTGGTTTGTTATTTGTCCTGATTACAAAAGACACATACACATTAATAAAATATCACCTTTGAATGCTGGGGTTATGTACCACATGTCTGTTAGCCCAGACCCTATATACTGTCCTAGCGCCATCTGGAGATAGAGGAATGGGAAGCCAAATACACACGATAGAATTATAAATTCGACGAAAAAACAGGCTAAAATAAAAATAAATAAATATTAGTCACAAACAAATATTATTCACCAGCAAATGTTTAAAATTTTTCAACAACGAAACATAAATTTCAAATGTTTTATTCGTCCTCGGGATAAATTCCTGATAAACCTTTAGATAATCTGTCTGGATGCCACGTGAATCTTCAAGACTTGAGGTTTATCTAGCTTAATGCATCTACCTATCCGTAAATATATACCACTATATGCATATATTTATGCTCATAAATCTATTTTATCCTAATTTCCACCAAAGTATCATTATTTCTATTGATCTGTGTGCCCATCTACTTAACCATTTTTCTTTTTAGGTGACAACTCTCTGAATACATTAATAGTGTACGTAACAACGTATTGGAGTTAAATGTAACGCTAGTGGTTGAGCATGCACAACCTTTATATGTATATATATTCAAGTTCGGTATATTTACTGGTTTACTTTTTAGTTCTTTTCCCAACTTATAAAATTGTAAATTAAGAAAGTTCTGTCAAAATACATCACAGTGTGCTCTTGTAACCCCTAATTAACGTTGGAATGTTATACCTCAAGTAAAATTCATCTAGAGAGTTCATTGTTCAGTAGTTAAATACCACTTTTTGATAAGTATTCGCCATTATAGGTTGTTTTATCTAAAAACTTCTAACGTGTTTATAAAAGTAAAAACAGGATAGAACATTACCTTTGTATACATGTACCAAGACAGCAAACCTGCTAATGTTGTAAATTCCCACGACACAGCTGAAACAGGCGAATATCACACACGAATCATACGGCCACAACCCACGTGAAGGCCTTACATTATCACTGTCTGTTCGAAGTGTAGTGGTGAGTGCTCCTTCTTGTATATTTTCGTTGGCTGTGGACACAACATTACTTTCTAGGGGCTGCTCATATCCATTAGAAATCCTGGTTTCTGAATTCTGTTCAGATGTGATAGTGAAATTCGTAGTCTCTGTGTAAGAAGGTGGTGGAGAGATGTCCTGTGTTGTCTCGCTGGTCCGAATCTCCGAGCTCATCTCACCAGGAACAGATGGAGATGCCCCGTCTTCGTCAAGATTACTCATTATTCAGTGGCTCCGAGAGGACGATCTAGGTAGAATCCAACCGATAGTGTTCCATTCACTAATCAGATAATTTGGATAACTCAAATATTACTTTGTATTTTTCTACTTCTAAACACTGCAGCGTAAAAAATAAGAAACAATAAAAATACTAAGAAATAATGGCATTAAAAACCTCAGAAGTAACAGAAAACGACAATGTTTCTCAAGAACTTTTTTGTACACTAAACGTTAGAAACAAAAATAACTACCAGACTGAATCTTTAACATAATATTGAAACTTTAGAGATAAAAAAAAATTGGTTTCTTCTGCAGGTGTAATGATCTTGTTGAAAGATTTCAAAATTTGATACGTACATAAACTTTTGTTCATAAGCAGCAATTGCTTGTCCCGTCAAAGAACACTGAGGAGGTGCTTTTCAGTAAATCCTACTGCCATACATCCAACCATGAATTATTGTTTAATATTTGAAATCGCCATTTAGTAAAAACGGTGTAATCAAAATCAGAGAACCAAATAATACTGCTGTACATCCTACTAGGGATTAAGGTTCGAAAAACAGCATTGTTACTCAATCAAACAGAGACAACTATTTGACAAATAACACAACGTAAAACGCAACCAAGACAAATAACTAGCAAATAGTATTAATGCATGTTCAATCAGTGACAATTCTTGAAGAAACAGTATTACTATCCACTTAATTGGAAAGGACTGTTTAACAAATCATACTATTTTCTCCGTAATTGGGGATTTTTTTCAAAAATAGTATTATTATCTAACCAATCATGGACGATTGTTTAGCTAATGACATCACTGTCAATCCAGACAAACAGTATAACAACATAACAAGCAAATGTGAAAGAAATAAGTTCCCAGCCAATCAAGGATAATTCTTTAAGAAATAACACATTTACTTTTATCTTTTGTAACGAATTTGTTATTATATATTTATTTTGTTTGTTTAGATTAAATTTATATTTAGAAACATACAAAGTTTATACTGTTAAATATGTATTGCGAAACTCCCGCCTATTTTCCAAAGTTGAAGTTTCTCGATAGTAAGAATCAATAATATGTGTGTGTAAGTAAATGCTTAAATTTGTATCTGAATTTTCTAGAAAGCCTACACACGCCTATAAATATAACCAACGCGACGCGCCAAAAGAGAGTATTATTAGTTTGCTATAGTCAGTGTGCTATAAAACTTCGGAAGCTATAACTGTTTTTGTTATAACTCTTACCAATCGGAAAACTTAAGATATTTGACCAGGAACCTTTACAAAGTTCGAACATTACAAATCGTTTAACTTCAGTGGATTCTCATCGGACATTAGTATTTTTACGAAAACATTACCTAACGTCACCGGTAGGAAAATATCGGCGTTTGTGGCTGGTAAATAACAGAGGACAAAGCTAGTTAGCTTCCCGTTAAGCGAATCGTACCTATATCAACTCGTAATTAACTCGCTTATCGTGAACCCTCGATAAGATATCGAAGAAGTAGTTTCAGACTAGAAAGAAGACTTTATATTGCTTGTAAGTTTGAGGAACTTTTGTATATAAATCATTGTGTGTTATAACTATTTGTAATAACTGTAATAAATTGTATTATTGTTTGTGTATTAAAACATATTTGTGTCGAAAAAGAAAACTGTGTATATCAATCTTGTTGGCAAATATCATAAACTCACTATGTATCGGCATTTATTTAAATACTAAATCCAAAGCACAATTTAACTGCTAAATTTAA